TGAAGACGAATTCTTTTTTTATGCTTTAAGGCCCTGGCCCCATTAAGGCCCTGGCTCCATTAAGGCCCTGGCCCCATTAAGGCCCTGGCCCCATTAAGGCCCTGGCCCCATTAAGGCCCTGGCCCCATTAAGGCCCAGGCCCCATTAAGGCCCAGGCCCCATTAAGGCCCTGGCCCCATTAAGGCCCTGGACCCATTAAGGCCCTGGACCCATTAAGGCCCTGGCCCCATTAAGGCCCTGGCCCCATTAAGGCCCTGGCCCCATTAAGGCCCTGGCCCCATTAAGGTCCTGGCCCCATTAAGGCCCTGGCCCCATTAAGGCCCTGGACCCATTAAGGCCCTGGACCCATTAAGGCCCTGGACCCATTAAGGCCCTGGACCCATTAAGGCCCTGGACCATTAAGGCCCTGACCCATTAAGGCCGTGGACCCATTAAGGCCCTGGACCCATTAAGGCCCTGGCCCCATTAAGGCCATGGCCCCATTAAGGCCCTGGACCCATTAAGGCCCTGGACCCATTAATGCCCTGGCCCCATTAAGGCCCTGGACCCATTAAGGCCCTGGACCCATTAAGGCCCTGGCCCCATTAAGGCCCTGACCCCATTAAGGCTCTGGCCCCATTAAGGCCCTGGACCCATTAAGGCCCTGGACCCATTAAGGCCCTGGACCCATTAAGGCCCTGGACCCATTAAGGCCCTGGCCCCATTAAGGCCCTGGCCCCATTAAGGCCCTGGCCCCATGAAGGCCCTGGTCCCATTAAGGCCCTGGCCCCATTAAGGCCCTGGCCCCATTAAGGCCCTGGTCCCATTAAGGCCCTGGCCTCATTAAGGCCCTGGCCCTTTAAGGCCATGGCCCCATTAAGGCCCTAGCCCCATTAAGGCCCTGGCCCCATTAAGGCCCTGGCCCCATTAAGGCCCTGGCCCCATTAAGGCCCTTGCTCCATTAAGGCCCTGGCCCCGTTAAGGCCCTTGCCCCATTAAGGCCCTGGTCCCATTAAGGCCCTGGTCCCATTAAGGCCCTGGCCCCATTAAGACCCTGGACCCATTAAGGCTCTGGCCCCATTAAGGCCCTGGTCCTTTAAGGCCCTGGCCCCATTAAGGCCCTTGCCCCATTAAGGCCCTTGCCCCATTAAGGCCCTTGCCCCATTAAGGCCCTGGTCCCATTAAGGCTCTGGCCCCATTAAGGCCCTGGTCCTTTAAGGCCCTGGCCCCATTAAGGCCCTGGCCCCATTAAGGCCCTGGCCCCATTAAGGTCCTGGCCCCATTAAGGCCCTTGCCCCATTAAGGCCCTGGCCCCATTAAGGCCCTTGCTCCATTAAGGCCCTGGCCCCATTAAGGCCCTTGCCCCATTAAGGCCCTGGCCCCATTAAGGCCCTTGCCCCATTAAGGCCCTGGCCCCATTAAGGCCCTGGTCCCATTAAGGCCCTGGTCCAATTAAGGCCCTGGCCCCATTAAGGCCCTGGACCCATTAAGGCCCTGGCCCCATTAAGGCCCTGGCCCTTTAAGGTCCTGGCCCCATTAAGGCCCTGGCCCCATTAAGGCCCTGGCCCCATTAAGGTCCTGGCCCCATTAAGGCCCTTGCCCCATTAAGGCCCTGGCCCCATTAAGGCCCTTGCTCCATTAAGGCCCTGGCCCCATTAAGGCCCTTTCCCCATTAAGGCCCTGGCCCCATTAAGTTCCTGGCCCCATTAAGGCCCTGGCCCCATTAAGGCCCTGGCCCCATTAAGGCCCTGGCCCCATTAAGGCCATGGACCCATCAAGACCCTGGCCCCATTTTGGCCCTAGCCCCATTAAGGACCTGGCCCCATTAAGGCCCTGGCCCTATTAAGGCCCTGGCCCCATTAAGGCCCTGACCCCATTAAGGCCCTGGCCCCATTAAGGCCCTGGCCCCATTAAGGCCACGGCCCCATTAAGGCCCTGGCCCCATTAAGGCCCTGGACCCATTAAGGCCCTGGCCCCATTAAGGTCCTGGCCCCATTAAGGCCCTGGCCCCATTAAGGCCCTGGCCCCATTAAGGCCCTGGCCCCATTAAGGCCCTTGCTCCATTAAGGCCCTGGCCCCATTAAGGCCCTTGCCCCATTAAGGCCCTGGTCCCATTAAGGCCCTGGTCCCATTAAGGCCCTGGCCCCATTAAGACCCTGGACCCATTAAGGCTCTGGCCCCATTAGGCCCTGGTTTTTTAAGGCCCTGGCCCCATTAAGTCCCTGGCCCCATTAAGGCCCTTGCCCCATTAAGGCCCTTGCCCCATTAAGGCCCTGGTCCCATTAAGGCCATGGTCCCATTAAGGCCCTGGCCCCATTAAGACCCTGGACCCATTAAGGCTCTGGCCCCATTAAGGCCCTGGTCCTTTAAGGCCCTGGCCCCATTAAGGCCCTGGCCCCATTAAGGCCCTGGCCCCATTAAGGTCCTGGCCCCATTAAGGCCCTTGCCCCATTAACGCCCTGGCCCCATTAAGGCCCTTTCTCCATTAAGGCCCTGGCTCCATTAAGGCCCTTGCCCCATTAAGGCCCTGGCCCCATTAAGGCCCTTGCCCCATTAAGGCCCTGGCCCCATTAAGGCCCTGGTCCCATTAAGGCCCTGGACCCATTAAGGCCCTGGCCCCATTAAGGTCCTGGCCCCATTAAGGCCCTGGCCCCATTAAGGCCCTGGCCCCATTAAGGCCCTGGCCCCATTAAGGCCCTTGCTCCATTAAGGCCCTGGCCCCATTAAGGCCCTTGCCCCATTAAGGCCCTGGTCCCATTAAGGCCCTGGTCCCATTAAGGCCCTGGCCCCATTAAGACCCTGGACCCATTAAGGCTCTGGCCCCATTAGGCCCTGGTCTTTTAAGGCCCTGGCCCCATTAAGTCCCTGGCCCCATTAAGGCCCTTGCCCCATTAAGGCCCTTGCCCCATTAAGGCCCTGGTCCCATTAAGGCCCTGGTCCCATTAAGGCCCTGGCCCCATTAAGACCCTGGACCCATTAAGGCTCTGGCCCCATTAAGGCCCTGGTCCTTTAAGGCCCTGGCCCCATTAAGGCCCTGGCCCCATTAAGGCCCTGGCCCCATTAAGGTCCTGGCCCCATTAAGGCCCTTGCCCCATTAACGCCCTGGCCCCATTAAGGCCCTTGCTCCATTAAGGCCCTGGCTCCATTAAGGCCCTTGCCCCATTAAGGCCCTGGCCCCATTAAGGCCCTTGCCCCATTAAGGCCCTGGCCCCATTAAGGCCCTGGTCCCATTAAGGCCCTGGTCCAATTAAGGCCTTGGCCCCATTAAGGCCCTGGACCCATTAAGGCCCTGGCCCCATTAAGGCCCTGGCCCTTTAAGGCCCTGGCCCCATTAAGGCCCTGGCCCCATTAAGGCCCTGGCCCCATTAAGGTCCTGGCCCCATTAAGGCCCTTGCCCCATTAAGGCCCTGGCCCCATTAAGGCCCTTGCTCCATTAAGGCCCTGGCCCCATTAAGGCCCTTGCCCCATTAAGGCCCTGGCCCCATTAAGGCCCTGGCCCCATTAAGGCCCTGGCCCCATTAAGGCCCTGGCCCCATTAAGGCCCTGGCCCCATTAAGGCCATGGACCCATCAAGATCCTGGCCCCATTTTGGCCCTAGCCCCATTAAGGACATGGCCCCATTAAGGCCCTGGCCCTATTTAGGCCCTGGCCCCATTAAGGCCCTGGCCCCATTAAGGCCCTGGCCCCATTAAGGCCCTGGCCCCATTAAGGCCCTGGTCCCATTAAGGCCCTGGTCCAATTAAGGCCTTGGCCCCATTAAGGCCCTGGACCCATTAAGGCCCTGGCCCCATTAAGGCCCTGGCCCTTTAAGGCCCTGGCCCCATTAAGGCCCTGGCCCCATTAAGGTCCTGGCCCCATTAAGGCCCTTGCCCCATTAAGGCCCTGGCCCCATTAAGGCCCTGGCCCCATTAAGGCCCTTGCTCCATTAAGGCCCTGGCCCCATTAAGGCCCTGGCCCCATTAAGGCCCTGGCCCCATTAAGGCCCTGGCCCCATTAAGGCCCTGGCCCCATTAAGGCCCTGGCCCCATTAAGGCCATGGACCCATCAAGATCCTGGCCCCATTTTGGCCCTAGCCCCATTAAGGACCTGGCCCCATTAAGGCCCTGGCCCTATTAAGGCCCTGGCCCCATTAAGGCCCTGACCCCATTAAGGCCCTGGCCCCATTAAGGCCCTGGCCCCATTAAGGCCCTGGCCCCATTAAGGCCCTGGCCCCATTAAGGCCCTGGCCCCATTAAGGCCCTGGCCCCATTAAGGCCATGGTCCCATTAAGGTCCTGGCCCCATTAAGGCCCTGGCCCCATTAAGGCCCTGGCCCCATTAAGGCCCTGGCCCTATTAAGGCCCTGGCCCCATTAAGGCCCTGGTCCCATTAAGGCCCTGACCCCATTAAGGCCCTGGCCCCATTAAGACCCTGGCCTCATTAAGGCCCTGGCCCCATTAAGACCCTGGCCCCATTAAGGCCCTGGCCCCATTAAGGCCCTGGCCCCATTAAGGCCCTGGCCCCATTAAGGCCCTGGCCCCATTAAGGCCCTGGCCCCATTAAGGCCCTGGCCCCATTAAGGCCCTGGCCTAATTAATGCCCTGGCCCAATTAAGGCCCTGGCCCCATTAAGGCCCTGGCCCCATTAAGGCCCTGGACCCATTAAAGCCCTGGCCCCATTAAGGCCCTGGCCCCATTAAGGCCCTGGCCCCATTAAGGCCCTGGCCCCATTAAGGCCCTGGTCCCATTAAGGCCCTGACCCCATTAAGGCCTTGGCCCTATTAAGGCCCTGGCCCCATTAAGGCCCTGGCCCAATTGATTTCAGGGTAGGAAAATCCAACTTTGCATTTGTCAAAGTAATCACCCCTTGTTTACTTAGATAAAGTTAGTTTATTAACATACCTTTCTTATTCAGCTTAACTAATCACAGTATTTATATCACTTATGCATTTATCCTATACATATAAATCCATGTGTATGTCTGCATATTTACTCTGAAAGTATGTGAAGTTAATCTGAGGAAGGTTGAACAATGTTGTTACAGAACCACACTAACGACGAGGTGATTAGAATGGTTGTAGAACGCTACACTACGCTGGGTCGTCCCAGGAACTGTCCACAGCCCTTCCAGAGAGTTATGAGGCGCTGCTGGAGGTACCAGGCCAGGGAGCGTCCATCATTTCTTGCCATTACTAATTTCTTACTTAAGGTAAGTCCTTCAGTAGTAATAAAGTTCCTGCTGAAGGCGAGTCCCTAAATACTAATTAAGTTATTGCGTATTCTGATTCATGTTGATGTTGTTCTTTGTAAGAATAAGTCATGTGTGTCTTGAAAAGTTTGCTCTTCTGTTGCCTTGGATCTCGAGCGTAACTAGACTACTTATTTTTCTCAGGAATTTGTTGGTTGATTTGCTTTGATTTAAATTGATTTTTTATTGTTATTTAACCTTGTTTGTTACTCACAAGTCAATAAGAGGATGCTTTAATCTTTATACTTTCCTACTGCAGCACACGTCGACTGAATACCAGAAACGCTTCGAGAAGGTCTCATTTTACCATAGCAGATCTAGCAACTACTGCAGGTGAGACTGTTATATTTTATCATCTCTTTAACACTGCGTCATCAAGGTAGAGACAACGGAGGAAGCTAATTTGAGGTGTTCAGTTCTCCAGCCCTGAAGTTCACCGGAGCGCTAGAGAGAGATGCATGATAATATATACGTGGAACGTTCTTGAGATTACTGTCCCTAATCTGCACACTATTATAAAAACATACTTGAGTGAGGTATATGGGAGGAAGTGTAACATAAACCCAGAGAAAAGCAGGTGCGCCGTGAGTACAATAAGTGAACATTGTATTAACGTCCGTGGCTCTAGATTTTGCAACATCTTACCAGAAGATATCAGAAACACTGCTGGAACAGGAGGAAACTGGACAAGTATCTCCAGCAGATGCCAGATCAACCAGGCTATGATGGATCTGTGGGTTAACAGCAACAGTTTGGTTAGCAAAACCACTGAACATGTACGGTTTGAAGCTATTGAAATTGAGTTCTATAAGGGCAGAGCATTGCATAAGCCATTGAGCCAGCTGGGTACAGTAAGGTTCACCCAGCTAGGTATATTTCCATACACCATTGGGAAGTTAGCATAGGCGACCACTGTGACCACAAATGCAAGTTTATACAGATGAATCTCCCACCAAGGTGGTTGTTTCGAACTCTAGCTCAAGTCCTCCATAAACCCCATCCGTTCTATGGTTTCTGATGGCTTTGAGGGGACTTAAGAACATAAGAAAGAAGGAACACTGCAACAAGCCTACTGACCCATGCGGAGCAGGTCTATGTCTTCCTCCCCCGGATTAGCCCAATGACCCACCCAGACTGGTCACCTCCACTCAAGGAAGGAGCACGGCACTAGACCCAGCAGCATAAGCTAGTCAGATCCAACTCATACCCACCCACACCCACTCATGTATTTATCTAACCTATTTTTAAAACTACACAACGTTTTAGCCTCAATAACTGTACTCAGGAGTTTGTTCCACTCATCCACAGCTCTATTACCAAACCAGTGCTTTCCTATATCCTTCCTGAATCTGAATTTTTCCAACTTGAAACCATTGCTGCGAGTCCTGTCTTGGCTGGAAATTTTCAGCACGCTATTTACATTCCCTTTATTTATTCCTGTTTTCCATTTATACACCTCGATCATATCCCCCTAATTCTACTCCTTTTGAGAGAGTGCAGATTCAGGGTCCTCAGTCTATCCTCATAGGGAAGATTTCTGATACATGGGATCATCTTTGTCTTCCTCCTCTGTACGTTTTCCAGTGCATTTATATCCATTCTGTAATACGGTGACCAGAACTGAGCACCATAGTCTAAATGAGGCCTAACCAAGGATATATAGAGTTGAAGAACAACCTGAGGACTCCTATTATTTATACTTCTAGATTTGAAGCCAAGGATACTGTTAGCTTTACTGCGAACACTAATGCACTGTTGTCTTGGTTTTAGATTACTGCTAACCAGAACTCCTAAATCCTTTTCCCAATCAGTAGTATTAAGATCTATATTATATAGTTTATATGTGGCATGGTTATTTAACTCTCCAACATTTAGAACTTTGCATTTGTCAATATTAAACTGCATCTGCCACTTCTCCGACCATTGCATCAGTCTATTCAAATCATCCTGGAGTGCTCTAGTGTTCTCATTAGAATGAATTGGACGGCCTATTTTGGTGTCATCAGCATATTTGCTTATGTCGTTATTTATTCCCACATCTATGTCGTTTATGTAAATTGTGAACAACAACGGGCCCAACACTGACCCCTGAGGAACACCGCTTGTGACGTGCCCCCATTCTGATTTCTCCCCATTTATGCAAACTCTCTGCTGCCTATTTGCCAGCCATGCCTCTACCCAGGAAGAAATTTCTCCTATTCCGTGTGCCTTAAGTTTCCTCAATAGCCTCTGGTGTGGAACTCTATCGAAAGCCTTACTGAAGTCCATATACACAATATCATATTCATTACCATGATCTACCTCCTCAAACACCTTAGTGAAAAATGTTAGTAAATTCGTAAAACAGGAACGCCCCTTTGTAAAACCGTGTTGAGATTCATTAATCAATCCGTGCCTATCAAGATGGCTATGAATTTCTTTGGCAATTATTGATTCCATAAATTTTCCCACTATGGTGGTAAGGCTTATTGGTCTATAGTTCGAAGCCAAGGACCTGTCACCTGATTCATTAATCAATCCGTGCCTATCAAGATGGCTATGAATTTCTTTGGCAATTATTGATTCCATAAATTTTCCCACTATGGGGGTAAGGCTTATTGGTCTATAGTTCGAAGCCAAGGACCTGTCACCTGCCATTTTCCACTTATTAGGCACTATGCCAGTTTGTAAATTCCTCTTTACATTCCTTTAACACCCTTGCAAACAGTTCATCAGGTCCTGGGGATTTGTTAGGTTTTAGTTTCTCTATTTGTCTGAGGACCATGTCACTAGTTACCTCAATCGTGCATAGTTTATTATCATCCTGTTCTACATAATCTATTATTTCAGGAATATCGCTAGTATTTTCCTGGGTGAAAACTGAGAGGAAGTAGGTATTGAGAATTTCACACATATCCTTGTCACTGTCAGTGATCTGACCAGAGTTACTCTTAAGTGGGCCAATCTTGTCCCTAATCTTACTTCTGTATACCTGAAAGAACCCTTTTGGGTTAGTCTTTGAATCCCTTGCGACCTTAGCCTCATAATCCCTTTTTGCTTTTCTTATTCTTTTTTTTTATTTCTCTCTTTAATTGATATATTGATTTCTTAACTGCTCATCCCCTTTTTTGATATGCCTATAAATGCCTCTATTTTGACCAATGAGATGTTTTAATCTATTGTTCATCCATTTGGGATCATTTTTGTTAGATCTAATTTCCCTACTCAGAACAAAAGTTGCCTGGGCAGCTAGAACTATGCTCTGGAAAACGTCATATTGGCAACCAAGATCACCTACCTGACCCATAGTCAGGACATCCCAATTTAGCCCACCCAGGTAATTATTCAGTCCCATGAAGTCGGCCAAGCGAAAATCTGAGACGGAGATTTGACTGCAGTTATCTGGGTAATTCCATGATATATTGAAACTAAGTGATTTGTGATCACTTTCCCCAAGCTCATGATTAACCTCAAGATTATTAATTAGTGGCTCTTTGTTGGCAAGAACCAAGTCAAACAGATTGTTTCCTCTAGTTGGTTCTGTCACAACCTGTTCTAAAAAGCAATCCTGAACCATATCAAGAAAGTCACTAGACTCAAGATTTTCTGTCATATTGTTCCAATCAATTTGTCTAAAGTTAACATCTCCCATTATCACAACATTTTCATATCTAGATGCCTTATGAATTTCGTCCCATAACAGCATACTGCACTCCCTATCAAGGTTTGGGGGCCTATAAATCACACCCAAAATTAATTTGTCACGTCCCTCGAGAAACTGTAGCCAAACAGATTCTGTGTTCGATGTTTCTAATCTTATATCATGTCTAAGACAACGATTTAATTTTTCTCTGACGCACATTGCCACTCCGCCACCCTTCCTGTTGATCCTATCAGTGTGGAATAGTTTATAACCCTGTATGTTGCATTCAGAAGGCATTTCTCTATCTTTCAGGTTGAACCAGGTCTCTGTTATACCAATAATATCTATATTACCTACACTTGCAAGTAATCTTAGCTCATCTATCTTATTTCTTAGACTCCTACTATTTGTATAGTAAACCTTTAGGGTGCTAGTCGCTCGTTGCCCTCTGCTATCTCTCTTTGTTGATCAATTGATTTGTCATTACTAGCAACTTTATTTTGAATATTTCCTTTTAAACATATCCCTGAGGTATCCTGGTAATAACTGCTGTTTTTAATTCTAATGCTGCAGCCTGATTGATTCCCACAAACACCCATACCTCTATGATCTATCAGTTTAAATTCCTAGACAAGTCATCAATTACCCTCTCGATCGAATTGGCTAATGCAACCACTCCATCCCCAGAGAGATGAACCCCATCCCTTGCATACATATCACGTTTACCAAAAGAATAGATCCCAGTTATCAATGAATGGGATTGCAAGTTCCTTGCAGTACCTGTCTAGCCAATAATTTATACCAATTACCCTAGACATCCATTCATTGCCTACTCCCTTTCTAGGCAAGATGCTACATATGACTGGGATCCTTCCCTTAGACCTAACTACTTCTATGGCTGACCTGTACTTATCCAGCAGCTCCTCTCTCCTGCCCTTCCCAATGTCATTACCCCCAGCACTAAGACAGATAATGGGCTTGTTCCCATTACCTGCCATAATATTATCCAACCTGCTGACTATGTCACCAACACCAGCTCCAGAAAGGCACATACTCTGTCTGACCTTTCTGTCTCTGTTACAAAATGCACGGTCCATATATCTTACCGGAGAATCGCCTACTATTAAAATATTCATACCTTGATTAGCAGGGGAATCAGTGGCACCTTCAACCTCACTAACCACTGAAGTACACTCGTCTTGGAGAACAGAGAATCGATTTCCTACCTTCACGTCTTCTCTATTACTCTCCTCATCTTCCTTCTTCCTGAACTGTGAACCACTTGCCACTTAAAGCGGCTGTCACTATCACTGCTGGTGACCATTTCCTCCTTACCAGCTAAATCCTTCTCACACTCACTCCCAAACTCATCTATGCGAAGCTTCAGCCTCCTATTTTCCTCCTGAAGAAGTAGAATCGCCTTCAACACTTGAACCTGAGATTCTAAAACACTACAACAAGCCATGGTGCTTGGTAACAGCCCACGCTAACTCCCAAGAGCTTAGGCAGGTATGATCACACGTGACCACTGACCTCAGCTAGAGTTCGCCATTGCCACCCTAGTGGGAGGTTCATCTGTAAAAATTTGCCTTTGTGGTCACAGTGGTGGCCCATGCTAACCTCCCTGTGGTGTATAGAAACATACCTAGTTGGATGAATCATATTATAGTCAGCTGGCCAAGTGGTTTATGCATTGGCCTGGAGTTTTGCA